CACCGGCAGCAGCAGCAGCTGCTGCTGCTGTTGCTGCTGCTGCTCTCGTGCTGGTGATGCTGCTACTGCTGCTGATGAAGATATTGCTGCTGCTGCTGCATCTGCTCATGCTGCTGCTGCATCTGCTCATGCTGCTGCTGCTGCTATTGTTGCTGCTGCTGCATGCAGCAGCAGTTTCCCATAGGAGAAACTCCGCGACGGACTCCCTGCAGCTCAAATGCTGCTGCTGCTGCTGCTGTTGCTGTTGCTGCTGCTGCTGCTGCTGTTGCTGTTGCTGTTGTAATGTATGGTTGCTGTCAATGACGCATGTGCAGGAGGCAGCAGCATCAGTAGCAGCAGCTGCTGCTGCCTTTTGCTGCTGCTGCTGCTGAATACGGATCTGCTGCAGACAGCAGCGCAGCAGACGCCACAAGCTGCCTATTGCTGCAGCATCCTGCAGCAGCAGCAGCAACCATTTGCTGCTTGCTGCAGTAAGCAGAAGCAGCAGACTAGCTGCTGCTGCTGCTGCCTCTGCAACTGCTGTTGTCTCTTCTGCTGCTTCTTTTGCTGCTGCTGCTGCTGTTGCTGCTGCTGCTATTAGGCTGTCTACTGGGGTCAGCAGCAGCAGCAGCAGCGGCTGCAGCAACTCATAGCCACAGAAGCTAAAAAGATTCCTTAGGACGACCCCACACAGCAGCAAACAGCTGCTGCTGCTGCTGCTGCTATTGGTTTTGCTGCTGCTGCTGCTGCTGCTGCTGTTATTACTCCCGCTGCAACAGAGAGTAATCCCCTTTTGCTGCTGCTGCTGCAGCTCCTGCTGCTGCTGCTGCCCGCCCGTTCCGCCTGGTATGTCAAATGCTGCTGGTGTTGCTGCTGCAGCACTCTGTGCTGCAGTCTCTTTAGTAGCAGCAGCAGACCCTGCTGCTGCTGCTGCAGCAGCAGCAGTTGCTGCTGCTGCCGGGTGCTGCTGCTGCACGCCTAGATAGGCGCAATATGCAGCAGCAGCAAGTTCTGTTGCTGCATGTAGCAGTTCCCTGTTCTTTGAAGGTTGCAGCTTTTGCTGCTGTTGCTGCTGCTGCTGCTGTTGCTGCTGTTGCTGCTGTTGCTGCTGCTGCAGCTCCTGCAGGACAGCAGCTGCTGCCCCTAAGGCAGCGCACACCTCTGCTAAGCCAACAGCACGGCGTAGTGTTGCTGCAGCAGCATACAGCATGCAGCAGCTGCTGCTGCCTGTGTGCTGCTGTTGCTGCTGCTGTTGCTGCCGTTGCTGCTGTTGTTGTTGTTGTTGCTGCTGCTGTTGCTGCTGCTGCTGCTGCATCATCTTGGTGTCCACCGCTGTAGCAGCTGCGGCACTGAGTGACGACTGCGTGAAATCCGCATCTGCTGCTGCTGTTGCTGCTGTTGCTGCTGATGTTGCTGCTGTTGTTGCTGTTGTTGTTGCTGTTGTTGCTGCTGCTGCTGCTGTGCTGCAGCAGCAAACCTACAGGCAATAGCAGTACAGCCTAGCCGTGTGTGTGTAATCCGCTGCTGCTGCTACTGCAGCAGCAGCAGCAGAAGGAAAAAAAACCTGCAGCTAAGGCATTAAGTTGGTTGGGGTGCAGCAGAACTCGCTGTGTTGCTGCTGCTGCTGCTGCTGCCGCCGCTGCTGCTGCTGTTAGGGAAGAGAGCGTCGAGGACTATCATCTCTGCTGCTGCAGCTATTTATAACAAAAAAATAATTATTTATTTGTATAAAGCATATTTCTGTTGCTGCTGCTGTGCTGCAGTTGCTGCAACAGCAGCAGCTGCTGCAGCTGCTGCTGCAGCAAAAATGACTCTGGGGGGCCCCCAGGAGGCCTCTCTCGATTTGCTGCAGCAGCAGCAACAGCAGCAACAGCAGCAGCAGCAATATAGATGAGTCAGCAGCAAATGTCTACAAATAATATTACCACCAGCAGCAGCAAATTAGCTACTTAATTATAGTATATTACAGCAGCAGCAGCAGCAGCAGCGAGGGCAGCAGCAGCAGCAGCTACGACAGCAACAACAGCAGCAGCAGCAGCTAGAGCAGCAGCAGCAACATTTGCATTTGTGTAAAGGGATTTTATTTAATAGCCCGTTGCATGCAACAGCAGCAATTTGCTGCTGTTGCTGCTATTGCTGCTGCTGTTTCCTTGGTGTCGCTGTTGCTGCTGCTGCTGCTGCTGCTGCTGCTGTTGCCAGCAGCAGCAAATACACTCGTGCTGCTGCTGCTGCACATACTTGAAAGTCAGCAACAACGGACACTTTGCAGCTGCTGCAGCTGTCGCAGCAGAAGTGTGCTGCTGCTGTAACCGCTGCTGCAGCTGCAGCAGCTGCTGCTGCAGCTGCAGCAGGATACGGAGCAGCAGCAGCAACAGCAGCACGTCGCACAGGCAGCAGCAAATGACGACAGCCGCTGCAGCAGCTCGTGCTGCTTCTGATTGTGTATAACTGCAGCATAGCAATACTGCTGTTGTTGCTGCTGCTGCTGCTGCTATTGCTGCTGCTGCTGCTGCTGCGCTGATTGTTACGTGGGTTTCTTATCTGTATATTTACTTATTTATTATTTATTTATTTAATTTAATTTATTTATATTAATTAAGTAGTAATTATATTTATTTATTTATTTATTTATTTATTTATTTATTTATTTATTTATTTATTTATTTATTTAATTTGCTGTTCCCTCGTCTTAGACCAACCCATTTTGTTCATACTTGTTCCCAGCAGCAGCAGCAGCAACGGCAGCAGCAGCAGCAGCAGCAGCAGCAACGGCAGCAGCAGCAGCAGCAACAGCAGCAACAGCAGCAGCAACAGCAGCAGCACCAGCAGCAGCAACAGCAGCATCTTTGTGTGTTTGTTTTGCGTCTCCGAGTGTACATACACATAAACTAATAAACAGTTTCTCTGCAGCAGCAGCAGCAGCAGCAGCAGCAGCAACTGCAGCAGAGGCAGCAGGAGCAGCACCGAAAGTGTATAACATTTGAGGTGTACATGCACCTTCTTCATGCTTCCTTATCCTTCCCCTGCTGCTGCTGCTGTTGCTGTTGCTGCTGTTGCTGTTGCTGCTGTTGCTGTTGCTGCTGCTGCTTATGCTCCTTCTGCTGCTGTGCAGCAGCAGCAGCAGCAATTCTGCCCCGAAGAGCACTAGACGCATTGTGTATTAGCTGCAGCAGCAGCAGCACATTAAGCAGCAGCAGCAGCAGCAGCAGTGGTAGTACCCAGAAGACAAATACCCAAATATCTGCTGCTGCTGCTGCTGCTGCATATTTGCTGCTAATCCATCCTTGCTGCAGCAGCAGCTTCTGGTGTATCTGCAGCTGCAGCTGCAGCTTCTGCGAGCTCCCTAGACACCCCACAAACAGCAGCAGCAGCAGCAGTTGATAACGCAGCTTCTTGCTGCGGACCGCCAACAGCAGCAGCAGCAGCAGCAACAGCAGCAGCAGCAGCAGCACAACAACTAAAGGATCTGAATAATTTGTCTGCAGCACAGTTGCTTTTAAATAAGGCCAAATTGATGCATGCATGTCTTGCTGCTGCTGCTGCTGCTGCTGCAGTAGACCTTGCAGACCCTGCTGCTGCTGGTGTTGCTGCTGCTGCAGTTCCTGCTGCAGCAGCAACTGTGCTGCTGCTCTCTCATCATAAGGGCCAAGGATAGAGGCGAGGGAAGAACTTCCCCCGGCAAATGAACCAAAAAAATCCTCCATTATTTATACTTGCTGCTGCTGCTGCTGCTGTTCCTGCTGCTGCTGCTGCTGCTGCTGTTTTTGCTGTTGTTGTTTATTTGGCTGCGGCTGCTGCTGTTGTTGGAGCAGCAGCAGCAAGCAGCAGGAGCTGCAGCTGCTGCTGCTTGCTGCGTGTGTGTACGGAGATTAAACAGTGGTCTATATAGCTTCCAGTGCAGCAGCAGCAGCAGCAGCTGCTGCTGCTGCTGCTGCGGCAGCAGAGACGACAGCTGCTGCTGCTGCTGCTGTTGCTGCTGCAGCCTTCGGCTGTGTTGTTGTCCGTTCCTGCTGCTGCTACTATTGCTGCTGCCCTTGCTGCTGCCACCGCTGCTGCTACTGCTGCCGCTTCTGCTGCTGCTGCTGCTGCTGCTGCTGCTCTTGGTTTGCTGCTGTGTATATGCAGACACAGCAGCGTCGGCGCATGCAATGAATAAAAAAAAGAGGAATATTTGTATAAATAAATAAATAAATAAATTAAATAAATAAAATAAATTAAATTATTTATTTATTAATAAAAAATTTCCTTTTTATTGATTATTTTATATTGCTGCTGCTGCTGCTGCTGCTGCTGCTGCTGCTGCTGCTGCAGTAGTAGTAGGAAGTAGTAGTAGCAGCAGCACCATTGCCTCCTCCAACAACTGCTGCTGCTGCTGCTGCTGCTGCTTCTGCTGCGCTTCTGCTGCTGCTTCTGCTGCATGCAGGGCTAATTAGGGTTTGTTTATCAGCAAAGAATAAAAATTAGGGTTTATATAATAACAACAAACACTAATTAATTTCTTCTTCCCCCCCACGCTTACCTCTGTATACACTAGGGTTTAGGGTTTAGGGTTTAGGGTTTAGGGTTTGTGAAGATGAGTACCGAAGAAAAATTTGATTATGATTACATTGGTGAGTTTTTAACAACATCTTCTTTATACACTAATTAGGGTTTAGGGTTTAGGGTTTAGGGTTTAGGGTTTGGAGGGTTTAGGGTTTGGAGGGTTTAGGGTTTAGGGTTTAGAGGGTTTACTAGGAGGGTGGTGTGAGTGAGCGATTTGTTCATCATAGCTGCGTGTCTTGTATTCTTCTTCTTTATATAAATTAGGGTTTAGGGTTTAGGGTTTAGGGTTTAGGGTTTAGAGTGTATTGTTTGTTGCCTCCATTGGTTTCCTTCTTTCTTTTTTATATCCGCGCGTCTCCGTCTCCTGCTGCAGCTGCTGTTGCTGCTTCTTCTGCTGCTGCTTCTGCTGCTGTTGTTGCTGTTTTATATACTTCTGCTGCTTGATGTACTTCTGCTGCTGCTTCCGTTTATTCTGTTGC